CTATCTAACCCAAATATAAATCTTTATTTTTTTAATAAATAAAATTATATTTGCTTATAAAATGTTATAATTTTTGATGTTTTTGGTCTAGTTGTTAGAAAAAATTACAATCAACAAAAAAATTATTATACAACCCATAAAACACAAAAGTAAATTTTTGTATAAAAAAATTATCAAGGTTTTAAACCAAAGTATACAGATTCCATTGGAACGCGGACTCGTTGCTCCCCCAACGGCCATTTTTTTGACATTAGATAGACTTATTTTATTAACTTTTAACAAACTTCTTAATTTATTCATCTTTACAAATGCAAAACACTAAAAAATTGCTACAGCTTTAAGTTCTGTACTTTCTTCTTTGCAGAAGTAAGAAAAAAATTGTTCTAGCTGTCTTAGTTTTTGTGTAATAAATTAAAAAAAAATGTTTGTTTTCATCAAAAAAAACGTCTTATTTCTAAAACTAAGCTAATCCAAAAATACAAAGAAACATAGAGTATTTCATTAAAAAAAACACAAGTTTGTATCGTAACTTATTTTTGGGACATGCTGTATGGTTGAAAATAACTTTAGGTGATGCACTAGATTAGTATCTATCAATGTCCTATAAAGTTTTTTTTTTCCAATTTTACCATTTAAAGGTCATTAATAGGCTTTTGCAACTCACTGGGACACCCTGTATGTTAGGTATGTTTCAAGTAAGAATTTACAAGAATTTTTTAAAAGATGAAATTTTTATTTTTATTAATATTTGTAACAGAGCGTACAGTGAAGCGACAATTTTTTGACAAAAAAGACAAACTTTTGGTAGAACATAAAAGACAAACTTTTGGTATCATAGAACATAATAGGCAAAAAAAAATTTAAAATAAAATTTGTGGAAAGCAAGTCAGATTTTTTAAGAAGAAAATTCTGTTGATATTTCAAGTCAAGTGATAAACGTTAAATTTTTTAATTTTCTGTGAAAGCGACGATACTTACTGAAAAATGAATTACTTTATATTATAACTACCATTTATCCTTAGGAAAGTGTTATAAAATTTTGTCGGTATATTTAAGTATCACCCTATATATTTCATTTTCGTAAAAATGCATAAATGTTTTTATAATTTAAAAAGGGGGCATCTTTAAAACTAAACAAAATTTTTCAATATTTTAATTTTTATTTATTCGATGAAAAATAGGTACAATTCGAATTTTTGTAGAAATCCAGATAAAGTTTTGCATTGCTTCGTACCTCATAGCAGTGATACTGTGCGATCAAAAAAAAAATAAATTAGAGTAGGCGTCGATTAAATTCTACAGTTGGCAACACATTGGCTAGGAATCTGGGCTTGAAATTTTCCACACAAACTGAAAATGAAAATGACCATTTACCGTTTTCGTCTTGTACAGCATTTGTGTAATAAATTTCAATAAAAATTTTCTGCTCTAAAGTGAACATTATTTCACTCAAAAGGAATAAAACGCAAATTTGTCAAAGTTTCCGTTGACATTTGATGTCTAATTTATTTATTTTTTTGATCGCACGGTATCTTAGCCACAAATGCAAGATCTCGAAAACTGAATTTTCAAAACGTAAATTCACACCGACCTGCATTTTGTAGGCCCTTCTCCAGGCGATGATTTGTTGTGCTTGCGCTCGTGTCTTTTGCCGAAGATCTCTGGCCAATTTCCGGGCATCTTCGAGATTGTCGATATCGGAGTTGGCCATTGCTGCTTCAACATCCGTTTCCTTTTTGATAATACGTTCCACCGGAATGGCGCTTCCAGACCCTAGACTTCCGGACCTGAAATCATCATCGAATCACTTTCGAGTATTTTCGACTAATTTGGGAAAGTTTCGAAACAATACTTTTGCCTTTATCGAAATTAATTAAAAAATTACACAAGCTGGGAAATGGAACACATCGATTCTCTGTGACCTTTGTTGGGCAACGAGAGGCGACATTTGAAAATGTAAATTATGTTCCGCAATCTATTCTTCGAACAAATTTTACACACTGTTTCAAACTTTGCACTCCTGAAATGTGTTCACTAACGTCGTTACAACTTGGCTATTAACATCAAACTTTTGTTCAATTAAATTTTAACAAAGCCTCGCTGCAATTTAGAAGACGGAGCAAAATAAAATCAAACAAAGTGTTATTCAGAACAAAACGGAATGTCCACTTCCAGAAATTGCTGTTTCATTTTTAATGGCTTAATAGTACATTATATCACAAGGTAGAGAGGAGATTTTTTATAGCAGAGCTGTTGTTGCCACGCATGCGAGGCTATAAAAATCTTCTCTACCGTGTTTTATATAACATTTTTTTCACCACTACTAACGAAAGAGACAAGAAAAAGACAACACTGGTAAAATAAAATGCTTCAGTGTAGAAATAAAATTTTGAATCCATCATGGCTCAAAGACATTTAATCATAAAAGTGGTCACTTCTGTGACGTTTGCGGGTTTGCGAATAAACATTTATTAGACATACAAGGTGATTCTTTTAAGCCCTACATTACAAACTTTTTAACTTCTAATGCAGATAGATATTTAAAATTTTGTACACAACCCAAATTGACTAGCTGAGTTCAACTAAATTATTTTCAAAATCCCTGAACTTCTGGAACTACGAGAAATTGGCGCCAACTTTGAAATTTGAAATGGTAACCACTTATTTTTATTACATATTTGAATTCTCCTCTCCAAACTGAGTAAAATTTATCTAGTTAGTACTTATCTGTCATAGTTTTTGACATATGTGAATTTTTTGCTCAAAATTATCATTTGCAGATGTTTATTAAAAACATCACAACTCTTGAACCGTTTGCGATAAGTGAATAATTTTTAATGCATTCGATAACCAAAGGTTTAAAGAGTTTCTTAAAATTTTCAAAATTGTCAACTGTCAAATTGCAAGACTAGTATGATTCTTTGAAAAATGATCATTAACAAATAGCTATAACTCAATTTTTTTGAAATGAAAAGACTCTATTTTCTCAACGGGAATCAAAAGTACACCAATTTGCAGAAGGACTTTTATCAACATGTCTTATACCTCTCTTACAATTTTTAATAATCACGAAAAACATGTTTTGGTTTTTTATTTTTAAAGTTAATCACGTAGGTTTTAGAAAAATACAATAAAGCTATAACATAATTAATACAAATGTTCGATATGTTTACCATTTTCAAACAGTCTAAAACTCGAGGGTGAACTGTTTGAGTGGCGTCCATTTATTTCATTTGGTTAAAAAGATTATTAAATGCCCCCTCAATTCTTTGTAATTCCGGATGGGTGTTGTGTAGACTAAATCTTTAAAACATATTGATTATTTTCCAAAACCTACGTGATTAACTATAAAAAAAAAATGTTTTTCGTGATTATTTCAGAAACTGTAAGAGATGGGTATAGGACATGTTGATAAAAGTCCTTCTACAAATCGATGTACTTTTGATTGCCGTTGAGAAAATAGGGTCACTTTATTTGGAAAAACTGAGTTATAGCTGTTTGTTAATTATCATTTTCAAAAAATCAAATTAGAATTTCAATTTGACAGTTGACAATTTTGAAAATTTTAGAAAACTCTTCGAACCTTTGGTTATCGAATGAAAGAAAAATTATTCACTTATCGCAAAGGGTTCAAAAGCTAAGATGTTTTAAATAAACCTCTGCAAATGAAAATTTTAACCAAAAAATTGACATATGTCAAAAACTGTGACAGATAAGTACTAACAACTAAGTACATTTTATTTAGTTTGGAGAGGAGAATTCAAAAATGCAATAAAAATAAGTGGTTACCATTTAAAATTTCAAAGTTGGCGCCAATTTCTCGTAGTTCCGGAAGTTCAGCCACTTTGAAAATAATTTAATTGAACTTAGATTAGTCGACTTGGGTTGTGTACAAAATTTCAAATTTCTATCTGCATTAGAAGTTAAAAAGTTTCTAATGTAGGCCCTAAAAGAATCACCTTGTATAAGTCGCTTTAAAAACACTTTATGTAATTTGTGTTCGTGTTTGCATAAAGATCAGAACATAACATAAAAAATTTCGTTTAAAATAATAGTATATTATATCACAAGGAAGAGAACAGATTTTTTATAGCCGAGCTGTTTGATGCTACGCATGCGTGGCTATAAAAATCTTCTCTACCGTGTTTTATATACTATGTTTTTCACTACTAGCACTATTACCCAGAAATACAACGCTGAAAAATATAACTCTACTTAATGGACATGTTCCCTCAGGCGTAACATGTCGTAATTCACAACTACAATTTTTGTTAAATCGCCATTACCGACAATAATTAATTATTTACCTGAGTTATTAACTTAAGTTGGAAGTATTATTTTTTTCTTATCATAAATGAGGTTATGTCATTTTTTTACTTCTGCAACTATTAAAGGAATTTTTTAACTTCACAATATCAAATATGTGTTAAAATAACAAAGAAACTGCAAAGAAAAAGGAAAAAATGTTAAAATTTGCCTCACTATCAATAGTATTTTAACAAGAAATAAGACCATTTGTTGTTTTGACAGTTTCGACAAAGAGAGAAGGATTAGAGTTGGGGTTATTCTGATGTTTTTAATGAGGAAATTTAATTTTTTAATTTGATTTTGCATTAATTTGATCTTGAAATACTTGCGATGGTAATATGTAGTTTTCAATAATAATATTCTAGAAATATTTGTATCAATATAATACCCTGCCAACATGGGCATTTACCCACCTCTAATGCATTATAGCCCTTGGTCTATAACGACAGAAAAACAGCTTCACAACCTCTCGACAAACTATTATAATGATATCTTTAACAGCTTGTAATGAAAATAGTTATTTACATTCGTGTGCGGTAACTTACATTTTACAGTGCGAAATGAATTTGAAGCACGACGCGCAGCGGAGTGCTTTAATAATTGAGCACTGTAAAATGGTTAACGCACAAGATTTGTATTAAGCTTTTTGGCCGACGTTTAAACAAAAATCCAAAATTACAAAATTCAGAATTAATACAAATAAATACGTTTGACAATAAATATCACGGTGGCAATGCACTCTAATGTCAAACAATTAAAAAAGACGCAAAAACGTCTCAGACACAAAGTTTTGTTATTGTTGTCTTGTTGGTGAATTTATGCTTCAAAATGTCGAGCGATAATAGCCCCATGTGTACCCCACCAGAAATCAGAAGTGCTGCAGAAAATGTTACAACCGAGCTATTGCCCGAAAAATCGCGAGCAAGGTATGAAAGCCCAGTACAATGTGTTTATAATTATAAAGTGGTGTGAAGAAAAAAGAGTTCTAAGATTGAAAGGTTGTGTGTAGAGCGTTTTATTTAAAATGTTATCATCTTACAAACAGTTTTTTTTTATAAATGTCTATGAAGATAATTTTGGCCGTGCGGTAAAACTGTCACTTTACACTCGTCCGTGCGTAAAATGCCCAGGCGACTGTAAATACAGTCTTTCAATAGGTGTCAATTGTACGTTAATTTGACATTTACATGTCAGGAGGCCAAAAAAGACTTTACGGTGATGGTGTGGGAGAGGCAGTATGTTTTTTGCACTATTTGAACATTTCGGTGACTAAAAATGCTAATTTCTATCCGTCGTATTCAAACAATGAACAAGATTGCATAGCAAATCTCACGTCTGTCATCTAAAATCCTTGCCACAATCCTCGCAATGAATCTCCCCAACTTTTGCTTTTGTTTGCTGGGACCTTAAGGCTGTCATTACGCGCACCTACTTATTACATTTAATTACAAGATTACAGTCCGCGTTTAAATCGTGTAAAAATGTCTCTGAAACACGTAAACACCACCAATTTTGGAAAAAACTCATTACTTTCGATTTTCTCTTACGAAACGTGGCCAACATCCACGAAAGGTAATGTAGGTGGTGTGGGTGTGCTCAAGTTTTGTAGGAGTTGAAAATTTGTTGCATAGTCGAGTAACGAGTTTAGCACGTGTGAATTATTGCATGTGGACTAGGATGCCGTTTATGGATGCAGAGTCGCTTTCTTTTCGACAGTAATAACTCCGAGAGCCATAAATTAATAGACAATAATACAGGTTAGATAATACAGGCTGTATCTTTGTTTTCATTAGAACGGCCTTATTTAGTCTCCTAGAGACTATTAATCGATCAAAAGTCGCAAAGCAATAAACATGACAGACTACTACTTCTACAACTAGTTAGAAGCTCGTAACTTTTACTAAAAACGCGACACGAAGATGTTTCATTTATTAAAAAAAAAATCAGTCACATCAAGTTTTAATTAATTCATTTGAAAACCGTGAAGGCTTTATGACGCATATTTTAAATTTATTAATACAGATAAAATGTATCTATGAATTTTTTATTTATGACTTTGTGTTAATAAGACGTCACGGTTGAGTTCTTGATTGTGGTATTATGTTGTAAATTCTATATCTTCTCTAATACTGCCTTCGAGCAAAAAACATATAAAATTGATCATAATAGATAATTTTATTATATGGAGTTGAAAATACATATAGGGTGTTCCCCTGGGTTGGTAAAGTCCATTAGTGACTTTTAAATAATGAAATTAAAAATATACAGGGTGTTCCATTTTTATTGTTACAAATTTACACAGGTGATAGTATATTCAATTCTAAGACAAAAGTTTCCTATAAACATGTATCGAAAAATGCTTGGTAAGAGAGCTACACCCCCTGGAAAGGGGCTAATATGTTTTTGCTAATATTTCAGAAACCATTTAAGATAAAATTACAAAATTTGGTACATATGATAATCTTTATACACCTAAACT